TATGGGGGGGGGTCCTCAGATGTGGGAGGGGCAGAGACCTGGCTGCCCCCTCCCGCGTGCGGGGCGCTGCTCAGGTACGGCCCTAGTGACGCGCTGGCTTATGTCTCTGTGTGTGTGAGCCCAGAGGCTGTGGGGGGGAGGCTGGCAGTGACCCCTCTGAAATGTGGGGGCAGGGGGGCTGTGGGAAAGCACAGAGACCTGAGGGGAGGTAGGGGAAGAGGCCAGAGAGACTCCTGGAGACAGCAGCAGATAGGGAGGGCAGTGTGGAATAGGGATGTACCATTCAAATTAATTGGTTAACTGGTTAAACATGTTTAACTGGTTAACGGGCAGGGAGTTGCTCCAACCCCTACTGGTTAACCAGAACCAGAACACCTCACCATTCAGATCCTTGATGTGGAAGGGACCCAGAGGTGGGGAGATAAGAGGATGAAATAATGGGGCGAGATAAAGGAGAGAGGATTAGGTTGGGTCTCAGAGAGTGGGGTGTACAGACTGGAGTTTAGTTATATTCATAGAATCATAGAATACTAGGACTGGAAGGGACCTTGCAAAGTCATTGAGTCCAGTCCCCTGCCCTCATGGCAGGACCCAGTACTGTCTAGACTATCCCTGGTAGACATTTATCTTAACTACTCTTAAATATCTCCAGAGATGGAGATTCCACAACCTCTTTAGACAATTTATTCCAGTGTTTAACCACCCTGACAGTTAGGAACTTTTTCCCAATGTCCAACTTAAACCTCCTTTGCTGCAGTTTAAGCCCATTGCTTCTTCTATTCTCAGAGGCTAGGAAGAACAAGTTTTCTCCCTTGGGACGGACATAGTGGATTAAGGCAGGGTCTTTAAGGGTCAGGTGCTGGACACATCAAGGTCCTGGGGCTCATGGGAGAGACAGTGGGAGTTAGCCATCAATTATTATGATTATTGGGTGTTTTATGGATTTTTGGAGCTGGATTGCATGTGGCTATTGGCTCAGAGAATGGAGGAGAACAAGTAAGGGTCAGAGATAGCCATAAGCAGGGCTCGCCGAGCAGTGGTGAGCCCTGCTCACCAGCTGCGCGGTTCTGCGCTCTGCACGTGCGCAGATCGCTCCGTGCCGGCTCTTCTGGGGGTGGAATCTCCTCCCCACAGGCGAGTAGATTACACTAATTGTCGAGCCCTGGCCATAAGTCACTCTCTTGTACGTTGGCCATCTGATTTTCAAAAATGTTTCTTTAGTGTATGAAACCAAAGGTGCTGAGAATTCATTTTGAAACACTTGGAGAAGAGGAAGGTGATCAGGAACAGTCAATATGGATTCACCAAGGGCAAGTCATGGCTGACCAATTTAATTATTCTCTATAATGAGGTAACTGGCTCTCTGGATATGGGGAAAACAGTGTCTGTGATATGTCTTGACTTTAGAAAAGCTTTTGATATGTTCTCCCACGGTATTCTTGCCAGCAAGTTAAAGAAGTATGGCTTGAATGAATGGACTATAAGGTGGATAGAAAGCTGGCTAGATGGTTGGGTTCAACAGATAGGTATCAATGGGTTGATGTCTAGTTGGCAGTTCGTATCAAACAGAGTTTCCCCAGGTCCTGGGGCTGATTTTGTTCAACATCTTCATTAATGATCTAGATGATAGGTTGAATTGCACTCTCAGCAAGTTTGCTGATGACACTAAGCTGGTGGGAAAAGTAGATAGGCTGGCGCAGAGTGAGCTAGACTAATTGGAGGATTGAGTCAAAAGAAATCTGTTGAAGTTCAACAAGGACAAGTGCAGAGCTACAGGCTGGGGACGGACTGGCTAAAGCAGTTTTTCCAAGAAGGACCTGGGGATTGCAATGGTCAAGAACATGGATATGAGGCAACAGTGTGTCATTGTTGCCAAGAAGACTAATGGCATATTGCGCTACATAAGTAGGAGATCACCAGCAAATTGAGCGAATTGATATGAACGACTAGTCGATAAGCAAATGCTTATCGGAGAGTCAACCAGTTGCTTACATCCCTAATGTGGATATGCCTGTCTGCACTACAATCACACTTTAATTTGCAATGTAGGCATACCTCAGTACAACTTTTTGTCTGTTTTGTAAATGTCCATGTGTTTTCATTAGAAAAAAGAATGGTGGAAGGAGTGCTCCCAGCCTCCCCGCAGCATTTCAAAGTGGCAGTGCCACAAAGAGCCAGGAGTCAGCAAAATCTCCAGCTGACCCCTGGTTCCATGCGGCACTGCCATTTTGAAACATCGTGGGGAGGATGGGGCCAGTGAGGGACTACTTTGGCCACTACTACTCCCCACAGCGCTTTCACCTTTGAAGTGTACCAACAGCCCCAGGGCGGAGGGCTGTACCAGCAGCCTCAAAGGCAGAGGTTCCCTTATTGACTTATCAAATAGTTAATGCAAATTGCATCAACTATTCAATTAGCCAATTAATCTAAATTTAACATCCCTACTTTCTACGAAAAGGATGTGAACAAACTGGAAGAGTCCAGTGAGAACAACAAAAATTATTTGGAGGCTGGGGTACATGACTTATGAAGAGAGGCTGAGTGAACTGGGCTTTTTTAGCATGCAGAAGAGAAGAATGAGTGGATTTGATAGCAGCATTCATCTACCTGAAAGGGGTTCCAAAGAAAATGGAGCTAGGCTATTTTCAGTGGTTGCAAATGTCGGAACAAGAAACAATAGTCTCAAGTTGCAGAGGGAGGTCTAGGTTGGATATTAGGAAAAACTTTTAGGAGGGTGGTGAAAACTAAGGGGGTGGTGAAATCTCAGTCCGTACAAGTTTTTTAGGCCAGACTTGACACAGCCCTGGCTGGAATGATTTAATTGGGGTTGATGCTGCTTTGAGCAGCGTGTTGGAGATAACCTGCTGAGGTCCCTTTCCATCCCTAATCTTCCTTGATTTTATGATCCTGCCTGACATGAGTAAATATTACTAGATATTAGAGGTTTATTTTGTGGGAGGAGTAATCATAATATTTATTATAGCAAAATTTTATTTTTAATATTTAGCAAAAGCTGCAGAAAACACTCCATAAAATATAGTGTATGTCCTGCTGTGGTGTGTCCAGAAAAGCAAGATAAATTTAGAAATAGTTCTTCCTCGGTCTTTAGGGGTGTTTTGTTTGCTTGTTTCTTTGGGCTATGTTAAAATGGTCTGTTGAGACCTTCGGGGAGATTTGAATATTTTTTTAATGATGTTTTAAATTAAGCTTAAAATGCCAGAAGAGAAGAATCAAGCCATGTCCCATTTTTAAATAAATGGAAGCTTTTGAGGATGTTGTGACTATAAATGCCCATTTGTTTTCTTTTTAGTCTTTCAGCCTTCTTTTATCCACATGTCAGGGCCCACAGTCAGTTCATTTTTAGTTGGGAATTCAGCAGAAGTTGTTCTGGCTATAAATCTAATTCGTGTGAATACAGAAACAGGTGAGATCACTTAAAACCATTTAAAAATTATAGTCAAATTAATATTAGTTGAAATCTCAATTCACTTTCTGTTCCTAAGATGAATACCTTATTTTACAATTGCCTCTGTACTAGAAGCTCTGCACTAGAAGCTACTCTCCAAAGGCTTACAGCCACCACTGCAAATTGTTTCATGTGAACATAGGATTCTGCCAATGTGGCAAGGTGGATTGATTTATATTAATCTGATTTAAATCTCCAAGTGAAAAGCCTCAATTTTAAATACTTGATTTTCATCAACTTTTTCCAGTTGTACTTCAGTTATTATTTTCTAAAGAAAGGTATATTCTCAGTGATTCATAAACCATTTAAAACATTGATTTACAACTAAATAGAATCTTTACAGTAACTAAATAGAACCTTTATACTAGGTTTGATATGTTTTTTCTGCTTACAAAGGTACAGTATAACTTAATACATTTATTTAAGCAGCTATGTAGCTTAATGTTTTCAGATTCTTATTAATAGTATATTTTTAGTATGTTACAAAATGGTGGCTATTATAGCTTATTTAATAATTTTCTGCTGTATTTGTAAAGCTTGATTTTAAAAGTTAAGTGGTTTTCCCTTATTTCCTATAAGACAAGAGTAGCTAACTCATAGATTTTGGTAGCATCTCATGGATTCATCATATTTATTTTTTATTTCAATATTTTAGCAGATTAAAATAAGTCTAGCCTTAACATATTTTGTATGAAATTTAGATTTAATATAAAAAGTTTTATTTTTTAAAAGAAAAATGTATTATAATTTAAAAAACAAAATTAAAACAAATCCAATTTAAATAAATCAGTGATTTTTATCCATCCTGCTATATGAAGCTAGTAGCAGGATTGGGATTTATCTTTGTTCCATATGTAGATGAGAGTGACACAAAGCAGCAAAACAAATTTTTCCTTTTTTTTTCTTTTACATTTAGGAATGTTGCCAGTGTTAAGCTGTAGTGACAGTAACAGATATGGTGAATGGAGTTTAAATGTATCTCATGGTATGGTATGTAAAATTCTGATTCTTCACTTTAAAGGTAGGGAGTTGAAGTATGGTGAGCTAAGATTAATGTGAGGCTCACTTCATGGTACATGTTGGACTTCTTTGATCCGGCACCCTAAGAACCTAACTGGACCTGAATGAGGGAATTTGCCAGACCAGGGGATCTCAATTCAGCCTCCCTTCTACACCTGGCTCCACTCCCAGCATCAGCTGTGCCCCCTACCCTCCCTCTGCTGCTGGCCCCACGGACTGGCTGCTGCTGCCTGCTCCTCTCAGGGCCACTGGCTCTGCTGGGACTATCATTCCTGGCCTGGCTGCTGTCCCCCAGCTAGACTCCGGCCCTAGCGCTGTTGGCATGGCTGCTGCCCCTGGGTGGACTCCCAGGCCTGGTCAGGCTGCTGCCAGCCTAGCTGCACCTACTGCCCCCAGCAAGATGCTCAGCCATGCTGGGGCTGGCTCTGGTGCTGCCATTCTTAGCTGGACTCTCAGCCTTGCTAGGGCAGTCATCCCCACCTAGCAGGACTTAGGATGCTGCCACCCTCTCAGGGCTTCCAACCTCAGGCCCTCCTTTGCCCTATTTCAGGCCTCTGGGGCTCTTTGGCCCCAGAACTTCTGTAGTCCTGTTGGACCATGGATGTTGCTGGACTAGGGAGGCCCAGTTTTTTAGACATTCAACCTGTAGCAGAAAGAATATCCATGTTTGATTTCTTATCTTGATCTCTTACTTCTTGGAATAATCATTCATGTTGACTAGTGACGTAAGATATTGTGTAATTGAATAGTTGTGTAACAACGTGAAATCTTAGGGGTTACATAATAGTCCCTGGGGGTGGGGCTGGCAACAAGTGTTATCTCATTCCACTCCCTAACCCTAGCCCTGGGGAGCCCCCTGCCCATCTGCACTGCTGTTTCTGTGTCAGCTCCCTGTCCAGATCCCTGTGCAGATCAGCTGCTTGCAACCCCCCAGCTGCCTCAACCCCTATCTTTGGGGTCTGAGTTCCTTGTGGACAGAGGCTGGTCCATGGTAGCAGCTGCTGTTGGGAGATGGGGGGAGGAAGGGGGGAGTGTCTGAGCTCCGTCGTAGCAGCCTCCTGTCCACGGGGAGATTGGAACCCTTGCAGAGTGGGGCTGCTCCCGTCGCCCAGACTTTTCCCACAGCAAGCCTGAGCGGCTGTGGACAGAGGCTGCTTTGCAGCAGCTTCACCTGCTCTTACCCTCCCAACCCCCCTGGACTGCTGTCTTTGAGTCTGAGCTCCACGTGGACAGAGGCTAATAGAGCAGCCTCTGTCCCTGGCAAGCCTACTGCAGGTGGCACCATGAAGCTGGTGCTGGGGGAAACTGTCTTTAAAGGCAGCTCCTTCCCAATTACCAGCTCCTGTCTCCCCCTCCCTGCACACTGCCTCTGTAAGGAGGCAGCAGGGAGGTGGGTCTGTGGGGAGGCAGGTGGCTCTTGTGGCCTGGGGAGCCAGCTTAAAGCCAGCTTTTCACCCCTGGCAAGCCTACTGCAGGTGGCACCATGAAGCTGGTGCTGGGGGAAACTGTCTTTAAAGGCAGCTCCTTCCCAATTACCAGCTCCTGTCTCCCCCTCCCTGCACACTGCCTCTGTAAGGAGGCAGCAGGGAGGTGGGTCTGTGGGGAGGCAGGTGGCTCTTGTGGCCTGGGGAGCCAGCTTAAAGCCAGCTTTTCACAGGCAGCGGCTCATGCCCACCCCCCCCACTGCCTCTAATTCAGAAGCAGCAAGGGTGTGTGTGCATGTAGTTAATAGGATAACCGATAAACCCAGGCTTATCAGTTAATCATGTAGTTCACTGCACATTCACATCCCTATTGTGGGTACTGAAGATTCCACAACACTTCTCATTTGAATTGGGACTCGGGTGTGGTTTATCCTGTGTCAAAATTCAGCTCTGTCATGGAGGTTGTCTGCAGCCCTTCCCTTTAGGAGTAGATGTGCCCGTCTGTAGTTTGTGAAGGGGATTGAGAATTTTTTTTAAAAAGGTGTTATATAAGAATGAAAGGTACTACATAAATGCTAGACTTTTATTTACTTTTATGAATTCTAGAATTTCTGTGGGATACCATAATTTCCATTGCTTGTGGTCACCCAGAGGTATTTGCTAAATAGTGGTTTTGATGAACAGCAAAATCAGACCAATCCACAGCTAGCGGGACTTCATAAGAAATCAAAAATGAATCCTTTTGGTTGAGTTAGGTTTTTATGTTCTGATGTAGTATAATTCATGTTAAGTGGGAGCAAACAACTGTAGATTGTTAAATTCAGCATACGTTTCAACCTTTTAGGTTTGTCCCAAAACAAATAATCTTTTAATATATAATTGAAGCCTCTGCATGTAATTGGTACCAGAAGGCATACGGTGTCAATTATACTTTCCCTGCATAAAGCTGATGCTGGGTATAATTAAGTATAATATATTAAATTTTAAAATAGCAGTCAAACCTAAATTGATATTTTTCAGAATGTTTCCAAAGTGACTGTAACCTTGATGAGAAACCTGCAGTTGTGTGTGTCTAACACAACTGATTGCTGCATGGAGCCACTTTGTGTTGTTGAGACTCTTCAAGTTTCTGCTTGCCGTGGTTCAACAATGTTAGCAAATCTCCTGATTCAAGCTGAAATATATGCCAACTCTTCCTTTATAGGAAATGTGTCAGGTAAGAGTTTAGATATTTAAAAAGAAATCTTGATATTGGCTGGTTCCAGTTGCATTTTTCAGTGTTTGTATGTTTTCCTTGGGATTTCCCAATGAGCTAACTCTTGTTGCCCCAAACTTTAATGTAATTATGATTAGGGATGTGAACAGGTGAAGCCCCCATGCAGCTGGAGAAGGAAATGGGAGTGGCTGGGCTGGAGCAGTCTTCCATTGGGATCCTGCACATAATCAGTTAACTGGTTAAACCCAGTATTTAACCAGTTAACTGATTAATTGGGATTTTACATTCCAATTTATGATCTCTAGATAAAGGATAAAATCAAAGGCAAAACTCTTGTTCGTGTCAATCAGACTGGCAAGCATTTCACCATACAGGCAGTCCCCGACTTACGCGGATCTGACTTATGTCGGATCTGCACTTGCGAACGGGGCTTTCTCGCCCCGGAGCTCACAGGCAGCGGTCAGCCACCTTGACCTCCGGAGCGAGAAAAGCTGCTCGCGGTGCCCCTGGTCTGCTGGGGACCGTCTCCAGCAGACCAGGGGCACCGCG